AATCATGTTTCCCCTTAATTTTGTTTTTGATGTAGCTGCAGTAGGACTACCACTGATCAGGTGATATAGCAGATAAAAGTGACAGTATTAAAAAGATGTTGTTGCTAAATGACAGAAAAAAATCGCAGGTCTCAAAACATGTTGCTCTGAAATTTATCTTATTCATTAAAGCCGTCAGAGAATATGTCAACGGTCTCAGGAAGCCATCAATAAGAAAAAATGGGAATTCCAAGGAAGAATCGATATATTTTTCAAAAACCAATACATATAATACAAGCTAATGTTAATTCAAAGTTGGAAAATAAAAAAAAAACTTGGCTTGTAATGGATATTCTCTTGTTAATGTATATTCTCTTATTATTGGATATTCTCTTGTTATGGATATTCTCTTGTTAATGGATATTCTCTTGTTATGGATATTCTCTTGTTTTGGATATTCTCTTGTTAATATATATTCTATTGTTAATAGATATTCTCTTGTTAATGGATATTCTCTTATTAAGGATATTCTCTTGTTAATGGATATTCTCTTGTTAATAGACATTCTCTTATTAAAAATTCTCAAACAGAAAGAGTTATATCATCCTGGACATTTTGCCTGATTGAACCGTTTCTCAGTGTGATTTTCTATCCATACAATTTATATCTCCCAATAAATCCATGATTAGTGAACACATGATGCGAGCATGAATTAAAGATAATTTTAAAATTATAAATTGTTTGCTTACCTAAATTTCAATACAGAATGCATTGACTATTAACGTTGAAATGCTCGAACCTGCATGGAGATTTTATAAACTCTTTCATATCAGCAGAGGTATATACGCAATATCTATATTAAATGATGATATATGTTCATATAATTCTTATGAGATGTAACACGGAATTTAATCGGTAAATCAAAATAATTTGCGGCGGTATATACCGTCGGTATATTTCCCAATTACGTATAGACCCGGAATTGGATTGATATAAATTAAAACGGGGCTGACCCGTTTGGATTTTGTTATTCGCAGCGGTATGTCGTGAATACACTTTCACAAACTGGGTTCTACTTATCCCGTAATATTGTGCTTAATACACAATTAGGACAAACACATCTACAAAAAAACAGTTTTAATAATAAAAAAAAGCAGTAGTGTGGCTTTTGAGTGCCAGGAGGGCTATATATGGCTTCTATAGGTTGACGACCAAATTGCCCATATATAGGACATTAAATTGCTAAAATAAATGGTAAAAATGCAAAGCCATGAACATAGATTTATTATGTAATCAAAAATGTACAAGTCTAAACGTAGAAAAAACACTTATTTGTGTTACATATTATTTAATGTTTTTTAAGTTTTCAATTGCTCACAGACACTTTGCGCTATTAATGACGTATTTTTTTCTAGCAATATTTTCATGTCAATTTCGTACAGGATGACCTTATACTTAATATGCAACAAAATATCGCCATATCAGTTCACTGAAGATTCGATTTAGAATGCAAAATTTTAAAGTGGTTTCCAAAGCTCAAGTTGAGACATAGTGCACATAAACTTTTCGGTGACTACTATATAACCCCAAAAATGATCATGGTTATTTCTTAAAATACAACTGGTGTGTTTAACTTAACGTAATGGATACTTGAACACCCCGTATATTACCAAAGCCATGACTTGCTTGAGTACCTGTCGGTTGATAAAAGGTTGTATAATTTCAATCTTTTTTCGTCAGAAAACGATATCAGGCATGTTATACAAGTCGACATTTAAAGTTTTATGATGCATTGCATTTATGAAGTACAAGTAGATATAAATTATTAAAGAAACTTTACACATGGTAACGCACACGTAGTCTACGGGTTGAGACAGGAAAGCATGTAAATCATTTGAAATTCAAGACTTAACCAATTTATAGTGGACCCTATATTATCCGGCCACAATAGTAAACAACAAAATTACATATATTTTTGGCAAGAAAAAGGACAAAACCTGATTAATTTAAATCAATCGTTATTTGTTCACTTTGCATTATGCAGGAGCATCTAAATAGTCTGTGATCAGGGTCACATTCAGTTGACCCCCATCTAGATCCTCCTTTAAAATTGACCAATCAAAAAGTTGCTCTTAAACAAAGTTCGTTTTGGTGACTCAGTTGTTGACGAAAGGCTGGCAAGGGTTTTGAAATTAATTGTTTGAAAAATGAAAATGAAATATATTTTAGATCCAACTCCTTGAATCTCCTCTACGACGACTATAAGCTAAATAAAAACACCTATAAATAGTTTGATTATTAAAATTTAATTTGTTTTTAAAAACTATACATATTGTATACAAAAGTAAAGACGGGAGGAACGCCATAACAATATGTGTTTTGTGAAATGAACGATTTTGAATATTATTTTTATGAAAACAAACCTCCAAACCAAACGATTTTAAAGCAATCTTTGAATAAAAATAAAGATTTGTTTTAGACAAATTCAGCGTGTATTGCAAGGCAATTTACGAGATGTTTCTCTTGGAGCAACTTAATTACCCTAACGGCTAATGAAATTGACATTATTAATATCCATATCCTTAATGAACGATATAAATAACATTTAGCAAACGTGTGAATAAGGAATACGGACATAATGCCTGTTCATAAAAATATGCTTGTTTTCACAAGTTACGAAGCTTAGAAATTTTAGAAAGACAGCTTTAAATCATGCGACAGAAAAAAACAATATAGGGACATTGATTTAAAATTTGACTCTTGAAAATATTCCCTGTATAAATGATATGAACTTGAAGAGATTGTATATCACTGATTTTGCTGTTGCTAAACCCAATTGGTCTTTCGTGTAACTAGGCGATGTCTTACTGATTTGCACTAAACAAATGCTGTATTCAAAATACATGTCAGCCAAGGTTTGACTTTGAGTTTGTTTATGACATTTGAAAATCAGACTCAGACACGACACAATTGTAAAACAAATTAAATTTGCCTGAACTATATCAAAATGTCAGATTTTGAAGTAATTAGGCATGTTTCTACGTATGCGGTCTCTACGTGTGCGTAGAACTAGAAGTAGCGTAGAACTAGAAGTATAACAAATAACAATCAAAGCAGATAAAATAAGCAAAATGTTAATATCTTAAAACCGTGACTTAAATTAGTAAATACATTTACGCCTATGTGTGCAAGATAGCAATATACAAGGAGGAGACGTGGAGTCATTTGGGGATGTTCTAAATATATCTAGCATCAAAGTTCATGTAAAATGAAACTCTGAACAGTCTATATTTATTCCTAAGAAAATATTTCAAAATGAAAGTAAGTGAACCACATGTGGCAACCGACATGTTGTCATCTGTCCAAATAGAAAAAAAGTATTTTAAAAAAAGTATGGAATTCAGTCTTAATTGCGTTTGTAATATGCCATCCTTGTATATTGAAGTCTCTCCTGATGAAAAAAATGCATGTCAATTGTATTGGTCAACAATGACAATAGTCTCCCTAAACACATATATGCCACAATGCAATAACATTTAAATCACATAAACTAAGTCTTCTCTGCAGACGGACTAAGAGGGCTATTTGTTCAGTAGACAGTCATTTCTATTTTTGCTGACGTCGTCGCTTAAGAGAACGCTGCGCAGTCAGAAAACGGAACGAAGTTGAGAACGTTGAATAGCTTCGCTAAACAACCAACCGTTAAGCTGCCAGTTGATTTACTTTTAACGTCGTCGAAAGGTCACGTGCAGAAAATAACTTTCATGCAACGGCAATGAAATCAACTTTTGTCCTGAAGAATAAACTCGTGCTATCGAAATATTGAAAAATAATAATAATAATAAAAATGTTATAAAATATATTCCTCAATGTTACAATTAGACTAAACTGCGTGTTTGTAAAGATCTTCATCGGGAATTTCACCACCAAGAAAATGCGCGGAACTGCACTTGCTTGGAATAAGCATACCTGATGTGATAAATATGTTTGTTTGAATTTGTGTGATAAGGCTTTTCTTTGAAATTGTGGTGGGTTTTTTTTGCGACCGGGTTGGAAAACAGATAAAGCACTTCGACTCAGCAAAAAATACTTTTGCGATATTCCAAGTTTAATTTGATATGGTTGGATTTTGAATCTTAGTGATGACTTCGGTATAAATAAAAGTTTCCTATGCATATTTTAATTCAAACTACATCATTTGTTTAAATTATCTTATTGGTGATTGTTGGAAGATATAAAAGAATATATCTATATATACGTAGGACACTTAATGTAACTAAAACACGTCCATTGAAACATGCACGGATATTGTATTGTTGTCTTTTTATGGCATTCTGATCGACTATTTGTTAAAAACTAATAAAATCTAGGACTATTTGCAAAATTAGAAAAGAGTTTTCAGAAAGGACAGTACATGTACTTCAGTTTTCTTGAGTCTCCTGAATATTTGATTTTCACTAAGTTAACAAATGTTGAATGGATATTGAATTTATTCGAACAGAAAAATGAAAGATATGTTATTTTACTGCTTCTGCATTGAAATTTCATTCAAATATTGAAACTAATGTAGATCTAACAACAAAGCCTATTCATCATAAAAGTGTTTATCGGTGATGTGTCGTAAAACGGTTAGATATAGAATCCATCCTTTCCAAATAAATGTTAAGTCAATATGATTTTGTAAACTTTTCGGCTCAGTATTGTACAAAAATTAAATAATGTTTTCTTTGTGTATTTTGTGATGGTCTACCAAACATTTAAGTCAATCCAAAATGGACACTTAAAAAGAAAAAGAAAAAAATGTTTTTTTTCTGTTAAAGGGAAGTCTCGATACATTACGTATAAACCGACATAAAATGTATTTTACACATGTCATCCATAAATCCTTTCCATATTTGTCCGCGGTATCATAAAAGCAGTGATTTATAGCATTATCTCATGTGAGTGTGTAGCTTTAGCAACACATGCGTATAGGCCGGATGATCCACACTATATAAATCTGCACGACAAACTATTGGAAGCACCGAGTGGCCAGCAAGCGTGAATCATTCACTTTGATGCTAACGATTCTTGTAAGTATTTCAAAATGTTATTAATGACTTTGTTTCATATTATTTTATCAAAACGAAATCAAATTTTGTTAAGTTATGCTTATTTATGCTGCTTATGTGATTTTAAAACATTATATTTTGCAAATTTATTTTACATTTTGTAGGTCAAGATGAAGGCGACGTGTTTAGTATTGCTGTCGGTGCTTGCGTTTTGTTACGGTAAGTACAACTTTACTGCATTCAATACTATATCATTTGTTATAAAATAAACATATACTTGGAAATGAATATACAGAATGTCAAACCGATTATCAATAGGCCTTCTTAAGAAACGTTTAGACTTTTTGAAATTTATTGCAATTTTAACACATATTTGTGCTGTACTCACATTGATATCAGTTGTAGTTTCTGCATCAAAATTATCCGTTCTTTACACTTTTTTCTAAAAACGTATTATCAAATAATTTCTCAAAAACCTCGTGTTATAAGATTTTGCATTATAGACTTCATTTTTGTTTCGCGCCTTCAAAATTAAAGCAGTTAGCAGCACATCAAAAGTCATTGTCACTACACACAGTGCCACGCTAACCAATTACACCAGATAAGTATGAATGGTATAGAAAACAGGTAATTTACAATGCAGTATAGGTTAAAATCTTCCAGATCTTTTTTAACTAAAGGTGTAATATCGATTTGATATAGTTGTTCATCAAAACGAAATATCAGCGCCCATATTCATAAGATATCAATTTACTTAAGAAAATACTAAAACACTTCCTTTTTCAACACTGATTTGTCCAAAATGGAGGAAATGGCAAAACGATGTTTTTTATTTGACTTGCAGCATCAACATACTAAATTTTAGATGAGTGATTCCTTACATTTTATTTCCTGTATTCCTTTATATTGCCTTATTTAAGGAGTTTATTCCTTATAGGATTTTACCTTAATATGCATGGCGCGTGTTGTCGACGAAACAAAAGCCGCTTGCATCTCCAAAACCCTAAACACCTGGATTTTATTTTATTTTTGGGGGTGGGTTTTTTTTTGGGGGGGGGGGTCTTTTTTTCTTTTTTTTCTAACGGTATCGTATAAATCCTGTCGTAGTTTATATTTTGCCTTAGTTTTATCGATCTTTTATTCGAACTAGGGTTTTTTGCACACTTCGAAATTTCCTATATCGCCCAAAGATTTTGAATCAATTTCTTTATTGAACCTTTAAAAAGTAGAACTCATTGACATTTGAAGTCACATTTATTTCAGATACATATTGGTCATATCATAAAATGTATATGGTAGTAATGATTTTCTATATTCAGAAACAAGACTTGCTATATTTCTGTAAGAAGGAGAGCGTGAAAGAAATACAATGGCTGTTCAAAATGAGCATGACTCGAATTAACAATATATCACCAAAGTTTCGACAATGATTGGAGATCAAAACAAAAACTAAAATGTAAACAACTTACATACTTAACATCATCGTAATTCACCAAACTATGATATTTCCATATCAATTAAGTTCATGATTTTAATTACATGTACGTTTTTATGTCATACGATATGCTAGGATTATATATAATCCAGGGAATTTACATCAATATGTTTGTAAATTAAAAAATACAGTCACTAACGTTTTTTTGTTGTTTTGATAGCTTTTTAACATTAATCTTATAGATCTGAGTAGTGTTATTAACTTGGAGCGAGTTATCGTACTCCACTTTACACTCTCACAATGGTTCGAGTGCTGCTTCCGTTTGCAGGTTCGAATGGTATACAACGCTTTTAGATAAAAAAAAAATGCAGATGACTGGTGGCAATGAAAACAGTTTATCACAACATTTACAAGACACGTGGTGGGAAAGAAGATCTTTACAAGAAATAATTTAAAAGTGGCCCTAAGTGATTTCCTAGTGCTATTGTTATCTTAAAAAAAATATACACTCATCGAGATGTGCCTGCAAACCACGAGCATCAGCATGCTTAAAAGTTAAGTCGTATAAATTGAATGTCCCAAAATCGACAAGGTAATACATGCTAAGCCAGTTCTTAATTACTTTCTCGAAACTATCACTTTAAATGACACGAGACCCGCGTTTCTTGATTGGTATGAGAAATCGTTAAAACAAAAACAAAAGTTTTAAGGGAAATACAAATATTAAAAACAATACAATATATACCAGTGCATGTGCGCCCATCGGTTGATATTAAACAAAATACAGGAAAAAAATTACCTGGAATAATGCTACATAAAGATTTGCCAAAAAATGCTTTCTTTTTTCTATAATTCAATTATATACCTCATATCAATGCATTTTTATGATTTTCAGATGGATAGAAAAAATATATGATAATTCATGTTTTGTTATTAACCATGGAAACTGCACCTCTGTTACATGTCCATCGTGGAGTTTTGTCAGATATATCCTCTAGTTTTTATGTGATGTGAATCATTTTTTAATTCAGCAATCATTTTTGTTTTTATTAACAGTGTTAAAGTTAATAACCCGTAATACTTTATGAATCAGTGTGCGCATGACGCATTCTTTACTTTTTATCATAAAACAATTGTGGTCACGTGTCTGGTCTTACCACTTAAAATAGATAATAAAAAAAACATAGGGGGTATAGATTTTCGCAAGACGGGATTGAGAAGAAGAAGGTTTCCATATAGAAATGGATTTTGGAATCAAATTTGAATTAGTCAGTGCCGCTTATATAACTTTAAAGGTTTAACATGTAAAAGTTAACCACATTTAGGAAGCTCTTTATGATTAGTCTTTTGAAAGTTAACATTGCTGTTAAGTTGGTATGAAACTGCAAATATGAATATGAAGTCAATGATTTGCTTTTAATGGGAAATGATAATATAATATGCTAACGCATATCCCTTAGGCCGACTAGAAGTGAAGAGGTCATCTCGAAATCTTGAGATTGTGAATTCAAGTGAAAAAATGGATACAAAATGTGAATGGAAACTGTGCAGAGATCTGTAAACGTAGTTGTGTGTTTGCATGCTAGCAAGGTGTGAAAATATGCGGAAGGGCCACTTTCAATCGACAAACACTATTTTGTAAGGGTCAAAAGATGGAAAATGTAAGATAAGTTGACACCAACTGAATATGAAATGCCGTTATCATGCTAACAAATACGAATCATTATAAGGGTTTAGGCAAATAAATGATTAAATTACGCGAGGACCGCGCTTAACAAATTTCAACAACTCCTCATAGACTGTTCATCTACATGAAACAGTATGACCACTAGAAACCCACATCCAATAAATAATTATCAATAGCATCAGTTGCCCCAAGTGGATCATATGTTGGAGACAGACAGTGACTCTACATTCCTTCCATTAAGTACAATTTGACAGAAACTATCTTTAAAAAAATATAAATAGTGAGGATTAAATAACATCGCATTTGTATAAAGATATATAAGAAAGTAAATGAGAAGGAAAAGCAATATCTGAAGGGTCTCCACATAAGGTGCCTCAAATGTATATGTGTTGGGCACGCACGATGAGTCTAGGCTCCTTCCAGTACAAATAGGCAAAATAAGTTTGTTTTTCTTGAAATTAATAATTGGAACATACTTGATTGAAGGTTAACAGTATTTTTTTTTTTTTAACTCATCAATGTAGCAGAGCTGACAGGAAATTGTTTATACAACTGAGGTAGATCATTTGTCGTGCATGCCATGTGCAGCTGGTTGATCCAGATTCGTTCCTTCTTTAGGCACTGCTGGTCATTTAGGCAATGGTCAATGGGAACAACCTGAATGTCCTGTCATTTGTGGATCGGCATGTTTAAATGTCTGGCTACTGACAAAATATTAATATCGTTTTTTTCTATTTCCGATATGAGTATTGCTTCGGCTCGTTCGATTTTTTGCGTTATAAATTGGAAGGATAATACTGTTAAACAAGAAAGGTCGGCGTTCAACCAGTATTTGTTCGCGTTTTAATTCGTCGTAAAATAACATAAATATGAGTGACTAAGAAACACGGTATGTTGTTCCAAAAATCCCATCACCAGATTATCGGAGGTTGGTGAACTTTTGTTACTATAGATTTGTCTGTTTGAATTTTAATTAAAAGATCCGTTGTTGTGAAGGACAATTTGTAGAGACTTGATAATGAACTCTAAATTGAATCTTGGATGTATTGCATCAGGATGCTTATTTATCACAAAAACATGCAGCTTCAATTCCAAAGTCGTGCAGGATATTGGTAACTGTGGCATTGCCTCTACGGCTTCTTTGATAACGATATGTTCACCCATTTTTAACTTATTCATTGCATCCCTTTCCATACGTTTATCAAAAGAGCCAAAGCAATACATGATTATTAGATTCATAGATTGATTTAAACGTTATTTCGATCACTATTAGTACACAACGAAGATCCTTTCTGTAAGTTATTAAGATGCTTTTGCTGTTTTCACAATTGAGCTTGTCTGTGATCCACCAGTATGTCCTGATGGAGAAACATTACTTTCTGTAAGTTATTAAGATGCTTTTACTGTTTTCACAGGTGAGCTTGTCTGTGATCCAGCAGAATGTCCTGATGGAAAAAAATGTGTCTGGACCTGCAAAAGTAAGCAATCAACGTTTTTAGAGGCATGCTCAATACTCTTGAAAAATACTGAATCGGAAATGTAGTGTCAATAACTGACGACTCTTTGAAACAGACATTTACAACACAATAAACAAATAAAATAGCTTTAGTTAAAGAATACACATCTAATACATACAGTTTATGCATAAGTTATATTCAAAAGGTATATAATGTATATATTCATAAGAAATAACATGTTTTTTATCAAATATCTTTCAAACAGATGGCGGGAGTGAGATTTCTGATGGTAAGTATTACAACTACTATAACACTAAAGAAAATTGATATTGTATAGAGGTTCCCGAATGAGTGATTGTTGGTATTAATCTAAATCAAGTGAGTACATTTTCAAATTGTACATAGACACGAGGTTTACCAAGTGTCTATCACAATTGGAAAATTTGACATCGAGAATTACAAAAACATGATAGCCAACAATCACGAGTTTGAAAATATTTTTCTCCAAAATGTTTCCATTTTATATCAAAAAAAAGATGTCTCCCTTGGCGAAACATTTTTCCAGTTTCCGATTCCGGAAAAAATTGTCGCTAACTATGACGACACAATAGAAGTTTATGTCGGAAAGCATTGTTACTTAACGTCATATTAGAAGATAGGACGATGAAATCACATCCTTTTTGTTACGCATTAGTGGGTTATCAAAAATGTTTACCAACTCCTAGCAGGTTTATCCAATGAGTCGAAAGAGAGGAAACCTATAGTAATTGTGGGAGAAATAAATATCCATAATATATATTATAACTTTTAAATGCATTTCTAACACGCATGAAATATTCGAAAGGGTTACTTATCAACACAGTATCATCATAGTTAGCATACATAATAATTACCTGTGCACTATGCTAACCCATATTGCAATATCTAAAGTAACTACCCCTAAACTCCCACTGGTTTCACCCTCCTGACGCAATCGATTAGCCTGCTAGGAATTGGTACTTGTGGGAAACATCCTCATTTCATTGATCAATTATTACATGAAGACGTCGCGTAACTTTGTTTTGCGCCGCCCACTTTTTGTACGTCATGATTAATTTCAATTGTTTACCCGATAGGCAAAAGGAATGGTGAAGCTTTTATCCCCGAGAGAAACACAAAGTTTTTCTAGACATGATGTGTTCGGTAGATGTGTTCTGTAGATGTGTTCGGTATATGTACATGATAACAAAACATCACTCGTTGACGGGATTAGCTAAATTAACAGTATCTATGATAATGTATATGTACAGTGTTTAGTATCGTATATTGTAAAGTGTACACCTGCATCCTTTATTATTTACATCTGCAAGCTGATGTTGACGATTGCGCTGCTATCACTGATGACTGCCAAAAGGACGCTGGAACTACAGGAAAATGCGCACCTGATTGTAAACAAGATTCTGGTAAGAAAGAAAATAGTCACTTTGCTAGTTTATATTATGCAAACTTATCATTTTCCTATGATATGATATTACACGTACCATCAATTATCTCGAACGAACTTTGAGGACATTTGCTTTTGCTGCATTTCTTGTTTTTATTAATCTTCTTTCTTTATTTTCTCACTATTACTTTCCTGTTGCGCACTTTTTCTCAGAAAATACTGGCTGGTTACTTATGAAACTTCGCATGAGCATTGGTTGGCAGATGTACGTAACGTGTTTCATTTTTATTCGCTTATGATGGATTGAGATATATATATATGTATAGATGTTCGCAAAGGTAACGTAAACGGTTTTTCTGTATGCTTTAATTTGTTCACAATAAACATTTAGGTGTATTATGTCATTACGACATCTTGCTGTTCTTCCTTCTTCATCTCCTTATTATTTCTTCCAAAAAATGGTTTCCTGAGATACAACCCCATACGTATAAAACATAACAGGAGCATAAGTAGGCATGTATATATGTACGCAACGCCTCTGACTAAATGCACCACCTGGGACTGTAACATGCCTGATCGATCGTTCATTTTGTAATTAAACTTAGTAGTTGGAATGCTCACACAATGACCTTAACGTGTACATCAGGAAATCGATTATTTGTTTAAATAAACAAAGTTTCCCTGCTCTGACCTATGCTTAGTCACAATTAAATATTGTCTGATTTTGCTTCAAATATTATGTAAAATATTTCACCATGTTATGATCTGTTGGAATTTAAAATGTTAAATCAAACATTATTTACAAAGTGTAATTACATTGTACATACTGCATTTCTATTTGTTCAGTTCAGGATAAAACTCTTGTGTTTGACGTAAATATGACTTAATTTACATCAAACACAAAATAGAATATAAAAATAGATAAGCTGTAATAGCAAAAACTTGTAAGGCGATTTATGTTTTATAGACACGTTCCCTTTTTGGCTGTACGTAAACTTTATCTGCTCTGTATCAGTTTTCGGAAACTTTATTATGCATTTTAATTCAGAATGAATCCTAAATGAACAAAATGAACAGATGTTGCCTGAAACGATCACTTTTTTGTTTTTATTATTTTCATTTTTATTTCATTGACTTTCCAAATTTTAAATAGGCATTCATTGTTTGTGCATTATGAATTTTTAGTGATTTTGTATCTTTATGATATATTGATACGGTACTGATTCATGTTTCGACGACACTACTGAGAACTGAGGTCTAAAAACTGTTTCCCTTACAGATTCTCCTGCTACGACTGCTGGTACATATCGTTATTTCTGCAAATATCAATTTGTAATAATGTTACATATGCTGTGCTTACAGCTGTTTTATATCGACGTCAGCTTATCTTTTATTACATGCTTACTGATAAATACGTTTTTTTTGTATATGCGATACGACACAAAAACCCATATCAGCCCTCGCCGTATCACACCCCAAAACCCGTATCAGCCCCCGCTGTATCACACCCCGAAACCCGTATCAGACCGCAAAACCCATATCACACCCCTTTTGGAAAAAAACTAGTTTTTCAATATTTCAAAAATAAAAATTAATCATAAGATAGTAGTTTTTATTAGTAAATATGTAATAAACCGAATAAAACACGCCTGTATTATTCTCTATATATTGTATAGCAACCATCTGAATGATCACGAAATATTTTAGAGTAAGATTGTTGATACACACACACGTACTTATATAAGTCAGCAATAATGCAATGTATTATATTTAATGTTTACCTGTGAGGTATGTTAAACTAAGGTTTGTAGGCTGCCTGTAAAAAAATAGCTAATAACAAATGACACGATGGGATGAAACTAAAGAAAGTGATAAAACACCCTAGAGAAAAATAAATGTCTAACTAAACATATGTTTGGAGGGTAATGATCAAGTCGTTGTCGCAATTGTGTAAAAACGTTTTGTTGCTTATATTTTCAGCTCCTAAAAGCGGATCACCAAGAATGGAACTGTTCACACCGCTTCTGGTTCTCGGGACTCTGACAAAAATATGTTTCAGTCCGTGATAGGAATGAATACCCACATAGAACAATATAATATCCGGAAACTATCGTTAGTTTTAACGAAACAAATGAAAGATGTCTTGTTCGGTTCCTGCTACAATCGCAAGCGTTGAATCACATTACATGTGAGGAGCTGCACGTGTGTGTCTTATTTATTCAATAATTGTTGAACTGTTTGTTTACTTTTACAAAATATAGAAGATTACATATATAGCATAATTGTTTGTAATAACAAAAACTTAATTCGGTTGATTAAAGTGAGAAATTCTAAAATCAGATGCAATACTCAATATAATGTTATGTGTCACAATCTCGTATTTAGTTGATCATTGTTCCATGTTCTCTCTAACGAAAAACGTGATGTATAATTTTAATGTATTCTGAATGAAATGCTCTAAATTTAAAATCATTAAGCTAAAAAAACATTTGTTTTTATGACAATGACTTTTACTGGTTGTTAATAAATGCTACTGGAAACTGCATATTGCTTTATTTTAATTTAAATATGAAAATCACATTGATTTTAATTTCTCTTACTCTACATTATCTTTACTTAAACGATAGAATTAGAAAAAAAACATCAAATAGTAGTATCAGTTATATTTGAGGATTGATATATATTACTTAGCTAATTTCCAATAATTTCCCATTGAGTTTTCATTTAACGAACCACGTATCACTATTTGTGTATCCATTATACTTGGTAATTAGTGTCTGCACAATTTGGTATAGAGAAAAATTGCAGGTATATAAGGTTCATAGAAAAATATATAATGACATGATCACAAAATAAATTGCTTAAAATTCTGATTATATTTGTTCTAGATATTGTCTTTAGTTCTATTGCCAATTATTTACTTAAATATAATTAGATATTTACATAATTAAGAGGCTATTATACCAAATATGGTGCTGGTTGGGGAAGGGGGATAACTCCCATAAAATAGTGTATTAATTATATTCAGTCTGCAATATACAATGTAGGTAATATATATTTGTATATATATATTGGTATGGGTCAAAGAAATAATATAGACGGTAAAATCCCATATAACACTGTATCCTAATGGAGGTATGTCCGTAGGATACGAATTACTTAAAATAGTATATGGGGCAAAGAAGTAATTCCAACAGTGTGGACCAGTTAAGGTTGTCAAGTTTTCGAAGCGATCCGCTCCTTTATCAAGACACAGTGAAACAGGACACTTACATGTACATATACATCATATTACAAGAAGATAGAACTGATATACTATAACTGAAAATATAGCTATTATATAAAACCAATAGTCCCTCGGCTAAAGACAGCCGCTGCCTTTTACATTTTAAATTATAGTATATCAGTTCTATCTTCTTGTAATATGATGTATATGTACATGTAACTGTTCTGTTTCACTGTGTCTTGATAAAGGAGCGGATCGCTTCGAAAACTTGACAACCTTAACTTGTCCACACTGTTGGAATTACTTCTTTGCCCCATATATATATTGGTTATAGTGTACAAGCTATAATATCAGATTGAAGATCGCACAGTC